ATCAAATTAAATCAAATCAAATCAAATATGTCCTCACCCCAGCAAAATGTCTTGATTCAAGTGGTGCAACCAAATTACACTGAAACTAAGTTTTATAAAGAGGCACCCATATCTGTTATACATTCAGACACTATATTTGTATGTCTCTCAACACATACAGATTGTCACAGACATTATTTTTTGCCATTTATACATATTCACGTCACTGATAACTGAGAGCCAGCATCTGATCGCTTTTGACAAGGATGTTTGTTTATAAGTTGCATATCTCCTTTTTTGCATCTGTATGCAAAGGTATTTTTAAAATTCCTCTCCCATGTGTTAATTGGCCAAATGCTGTAGTCCTTCAGTCTATGCCGAATGTGTTTTCTAATGTGTTTTTGCCCATTGTTATTCAAACCCAGCCACCTAGCATTCATGTTAATTCCACTGTGGAAGGGGTTTTAAAGCCAAAGCTATGCCACTGAAATTAATGAAGCTGAGCCAAAAGGAGCATGTAACTGCTGCTAGAGTAGATGAAAATCAATACATTACATCAGGCGATTGTCTCCAACAGAACTGATGGATTACACTGGGACTTTATAAAAGCCTTTCGAGTCCCAGTGGATTATGTAAAAATGTAGCTCTCATAAAGCTAAACCCAAAACTGCTTTAAAAATGTCTCCTCTGTTGACATTTTAGAGATAGATTTACTGAAGTGGTAGTACCTATTTTGCAGCAGTTTAGAAGGTTAACACAAACAAAGCATAACAAAAACATTATAGAAATGATGTGTACTAAATAAAGCTGTTAACAGTTTGTATTGTTCATTCCCTTAACCTGTCTTGTGGAAGTACTTTAAGTGAGCATCAAGCAGAATATACACCTTCTGGCACTAAAAGCCCTAGCACATTATCCAGTAGTGTGAGTCAAGGTGCGTCTTTGTGCTGGTGTTCTGCACCAAAGGCATGTGTCCTGTGTTATTCTGTTACATGCCATCTGTTCGCACTTAAACCATCTTGTCTCTTTTCATTAGGTCTATAACAAGAGATGCAGCAGAGTACTGTAGGTCACCGCAGTGGTTGGAGTTATTAGAAGACAAATTGTTCAACAGCTCTGAGTCAGAGAGAACAGGAGGTGGGCCAGCACTCTATCACAATGGGGAATTTGTCAGATAAAAAAGCATTATGGAAATCCTGAAAGTCCAACTGAATTATGCTGTTTGATCAACCCTTTCCTTCCTTTATGACTTTTTTCAGTGAATAACTCTTCCAGAGAAGAGATTCAGTCATGAATAGCCATGTTTTTCTTCTCCACTCTTCAGCTGGGCAGAAAGATTCACAGCCCGTACTCATTGATGTGTGAGTCTACTCCAAACTCCAATCTTTGTATTTCAGACAGTCATGAACTAAATCCACACTTTGTAAAAGTACAACAGTGAAAAAGACAGCAAATCCAATCATCTAAAAAACATCATAAAGAAAACTTTTACACTACCAGTCAGTAGTGTGGACATGCTTTACCATTGAATTGAATGGGAAAATGTGCCCACTTCATCTTCATTCTTGGACAAAAATAAAGTACCTTGACCAGATTCCAAGGTAAATAGAGAAAATAACAAATTTAGAATGAGTGAATTATAATCAAATAAGTAAGTAAGTTGAAAGGTATCATGATAGGAAATGTAGGTGTAAATGCACAGTGGTGGTCAGACTTTTGTCTTCTCTCTATGCCAGATTGGAAACATCAAGCATACCTGTGTCATTTAAGTCACACTGTTCAGTGTTGCACTGCATGCTGGGAGATGACTTGTCAGTGAGGCAGAGGAGGGTGTGGAAGTGCCTCCTGAAGGTGTTGGATAGGCAGGCATAGAGGATGGGGTTAGCACAGCTCCACGAGTACGACAACAGGACCACAAACTCAAAAGCTCTGGTAAAGGTAGGGAACGGATCACTTTGAAGCACGGAGCAGAAGTTGAAGGCATAAAATGGCAGCCAGCACATGCCGAACACAACCACTACTGACACCACCATTTTAGTGACTTGATGCTCTAGCCGGTGGCCCTCATTGTTTGGCGTCAAGGCTCTGAGTCGCTGGGACCTCAGGGTAAACAACAGCGCCACGTAGAAGGCCATCATGACCATGAATGGTAAAGCAAACCCCAAGACAAAGGTGTAAGAGAGGACGCCAAGCTGCCAGGTGTTTGACGCAAACTCTAGTATACACAGGCCCTGATCAGTCGAGAAGTGAAGTGCCATGGGAAGAATGGTTAGGAGTGAAAACAGCCACAGGAACGCAGAGACAATCTTGGCACAGTTTGGCATTCTCCAACGCACGAACCGGAGTGGGTCAGCCAGTGCCATGTAGCGGTCAATGGTCATTGCTGTCAGACAGAAGACGCTAGTGAACTGGTTGATGCCGTCTAGCACCATGACCACTTTGCATGCCATGTCACCAAAAACCCAGTGGTCCTGGAATTTTTGGCTCGCAATAAAGGGAAGACCAACCATGAAGAGTCCATCAGCCAGGGCCAGGTTGAAAATGTACACTGTTGTGGAAGATGACATTTTGTCCAGTTTCAAAATGGCGACAATGACCAAGGTGTTTCCAGTTAGCCCCAGGATGCAAACCACTAGGTAGAGAATTCCCATGGTGATGCCATAGCCATCGGTGCTGTTCTCAGAGAAAAAATGTCCATTTACATAAGTTTGATTGAAGTCTATATGTACATCTGATGAAAATGAGGCGTCCATTCTGCCCAAGTTCAGCAAACGACTAATCAAAAGGAGAATCAAAAAACAAAATTGCAGTCAGAAAAGTGGCAGCTCAGAAACGCTTTCGTGTAAATTCCTCTCTAAGCCGTTCCAGACTCATCTCTTGACTGCCCGTCTTGGAAGTTAAACGTACTCAGAGGAAGAAGAGTAAACAACTCAAGTGAAAAACTTGAAAATCAAACACAGTGTTCAGGTTCAAGAGCAGTCAGACTTCAGCAGCTCTTCATCTCCCCTCATCCAGTCAGCCTCCTTTTATCTTCCTTTTATCTTCAAAGTTTATTCCTTTGTGGTGACTGCATGCACCTTCCTGATACCCGTGTACCTTTTCCCACATACACACACTGGCATAAACACACTCACTGATGCACAGCAGTGGGGAAATGAGCAGGGCGACCTCTCTGACGCTTGCCTGAGCGCTCTCTCTCCCTGACAGCCCTTTTATATCTCGTCCCCCCACAGCGTGCAAGGAGTGTGTCTACTCCTGTGTGTATGTGCATGTGTATGTTGGACCCCTCAACCCCCACCTCCTTGTTCATTAGTCTCGACAGAATGTGATAAACTCCAGCTTGGCTCACGCCCCTTCTCAGTGCTGATGCAATACTTTTGTTTTCATAACTTTTTCTCTCCACTCTTTTTCTTCATCTTCTGTTACTTCAACACACCCCCCTTACAAATCCATTTTGTCTCACCACTCTCCACCCGTGGACTCCCCTGCTTCTTTGCCTCCGGTGGTTCTTCACAATTCAGGGGGGAGGGGGGTGTCTCACACAACTAAGCCTAAACACACAGAGACATGAAGATAACAACACTACCCCAAAGCTTGGGCCACCCACCTTTACAACGCAGATTGCTGGCAGGAAGGAGAAGTCTGTTTATGTTTTCTCATGGCTTTTGTTTTGTGACGTTTGACATAAGATGCTGTTTTTGCTTCTTTGATTCCTTCCATTTTCCTCTAAACCTTCCACCTTGTTTTTTCCTCCTTTTATCTATTTTATCACAATAGGAGAAGGTGAAACGGATGAAGGGAAAGGTAATAAGAAAGTGATGAGGAAGGCAGAAAATGATAGCGAAAGCAAGAGAGCTGGGAAGATTAAAGACTCTGGATGAGTGATGACCTCCATCCTGTTGCTGCTCTGACACGCATAGCTGGAATACCCTGACAACATCCCCCAGAAAAACCTCTAGTGTGTTCAGCTACACACTGTCAACACTGAAAATAGTTGCACTGTTAAAACTAACAAATTCTTCCTTTATCCCATCATTTTTATTTAGCTTCACACCTCAATGGAGCACACGTTCATCATATGCTGCAGATTCCCTGTTCTCAAGACATACCCTCACTCTGGCTTTTAACTGGTTCCAATTATCAAGAAAAAATGCCTTTGTAATCTAAGCCCTAATGAGGTCGTGGCTTAACTTCCCCCCAGAGACTGGCATTTCACACAACAAAGCCCACCTCTGCACTCCAAGCCCAGAGCCCCCTGTAAAAACATGACTGGAAATACTTTTGTGGTGCTAAATTTGGAGATGTTTGACAGGTTACTATTTCACAAGCCAGCCCATCTTGTGGGTCTAAAGCTTTTTCACTGCATACATGAAAACTTTGACCTACTGCTGACCAAAGATAACCAAAGTCTTTATGGTTCATCCTCAAGGGACTTTGAAGCTGATCATACATAAGCGGCTTTCAGACCAGAGGAACTTTCTCCTAGTTCTTAGAACTGTTGAACAAAGTACCCGCTTTCTTGTGTGACCACACTGCACACTGAACTGATAAGAATAATAGTTCTTAGAATGTTGTTTTGAGGGTCTTTTTAGCTCTTAGTTCAGGGTAGATACTCTCCAAGCATAATAGGAACCATGAGTGACATACAGACTTCAACCCTGCTAAATGTCATTTGTTAAAAACTGTGTTAACTGTTTAAAAAATAGCGGTCAGTAGCCATGACCAGCAGCATGGGGAGATGCAGTCCACCAGCGGATGCCTCTGCAAAGGGTTAGTGACTCATTATATACAACCAGTGGCCACTTAATTAGGTACACCTGTACAATTGTATGTGATTTAATGCAACACTTCCACCTTAACATTATATTCAGAAGTGTCTCTATATTTTTGTCCTCCCCAGCTACATACACGAGAGGGTCAGAATATTAGGAACACCACTGAATATAATGTAGTCCAGTACAGCACCACTTTTAACTATATCCTCAATAATCAACATGAAACTGAATTTATACATTTATGACAATTTCACCAAAAACAAACATTTTGAACTTCATAAACACGAATGCTAAGCCAGAAGTGTTGCAGTGAATTGTATACAATTATACAGGTGTGACTATTAAAGTGGCTAGTGACTGTAATTAACGTTAGCAACACATAAAGAAAATACTTATAGGTAATGTAATGTGGCTATGTGTTGTTGTGAGCTTGTTGGCTAATTGCTAACAGGCTTAGTGTTATGTCACTACAGCATTCCTAGTGGTGATGTGAATACAAACAGAAAAAAGCCATAAAGGTGTGCAGTTCTTGGAGGAGCTCCCCAGTGGGGTAGCCCCTGGAACTACAGTAAGTACCTAGAACTGTTTGGTCTGAAAGCACCTGCAGACTTTGTAAAAAAAAAATTCAACAGAAAATCCAATAGTTCCAAGATATTTTACTCTGAATCCTTAGTGTTAGTCATAATGGCAACAGAGGAAAAGCAGGGGGATCACCACTCTTTGTAGGATTCACACTCTGGATTTCCTGAATGTCAGTACAAAATTTCAAGGCAGTTTATCCTATTTTTCAGTCTGAGCCAAAGTAATGGGCCAACAGATGCTGCTAGCGTTGCTAAGAAAGCACCAAACACAGTGACCATCTGTAGTTTGCATGGAATAATATAATGATTCCAGCAAAATGTAAGTCAGTCAGTGTTGCTGCTGCTTTGACAAAGCATTTTCAGTAAAAAGAAAAAAGTTACATATGACATGTTACATATGAAAGAAATGTTACATCCAATGCTTTCAGCACACTAGAAAGTGAGAGGAAGCCAAAGAGGAAATCTGGAAATGCCACATATCTTATTATTTTGTTTATAGTGTCTAGATTTTAGTGTATTTTGGCTTCTTTTTGTTTCCCAGCAACAACTGATTATAAACCCAGAGCCACTCATGAGTAATATGTACAAGTGCAAGACAGAAATGTGAAGATAGATCATACTGCTGTAACAAAATCTAAATGCATCAGTGGACATGTTAACTGTATTTAAAGTGTCAAATTAGGTTTCATGTTCCTTAATGGTCATTGATTTTGAAATGTTACTTTATAATAAAGCCCCTAAAGGAAAGAAAAAATATACTTACTTAAAGGTATTAACACTGTAAAAAGAAAAATGTGGCACTGTGCCATTATACCAATGTTTAATTTGGTGGTATAGGCCTGTTATTATCATACAAAACTGATGAAAAAATATGCAGAGTGATAGTACACTGGGATATTTCCAGTGTGGGTGTTTTGAAGTGTGATTATCATAAAACACCAGGGATCTAACACATCAGAGTTAAACATTTATATTTGATGTCAGTTCCTGAGACTCCAAGAGCCAGGGACTGTTTCTTGAGCCTTTGTTTTGCTGAGACAGTCAATGGTCCTGCATGGAAAGCCACTGAATAGGAGGCAAAAAAACAACCAGATTATCCTTTAAAAGGAACAAACACCATGAAGACCAGTAATATGTGGAATTTTGTGTTATGAACATGATTTTACAAATGAAAAAACTCAGCTCCTTAACTTTCTACACTGAAAAAGCATTTCAGTTTTTCACTGAAAAGAAGATCTATCAGTTCTTTTTATATTTGTCTATATTTTCTCTTTTGTTCCTATCAGAAATTGTGCAAAATGTAACTTTTCAATACAATAATAATAGGGTATATTGGATAGACCTGGGCATTGTGTTTACATTGAAATATATAAATCTATAACTTTTAAATGGAATTCTGCCTGTGAATTCCACTGTGAATTCTGGAATTCACAAAACATACAATAGACATAATGGTTATTACAATGTGTTACATTTACTGATAAAGATTACTTGTGGATTAAAGGAGAAATAGGTCACTGTACCCTCCATGGTTTATGAGAAACTGCAGGCACTGCACTCAAATGTTGCTCTTATCCAATGTCTGCATTAATTTCCACAGTAGAATTATTTCTGCAGTAAAATATGATACTTGTACATACTGCATGTAACAGTGTAAATACTGTATATTACAGATGATGATATCTGACACTCTAAGGTATTTTTTCTTTTTCACCCTCCACAGATCTATTGGAGCTGCTTGGTGGAAGACTGAGAAACTCTCTGGTGTGATTTTGAGAATGGGAATTGCTGCAGAAACATTATTAGTCAACTTTATATGTAAACAAAATGCTTCATGCTCAAAATACTACAATTCACAGCCTGGTTGTTACATTAATAAATGGTCCCATACAGTGCCTCTTACTTGCCAGATTAGCTTGTGGTGCACAATAGAGCTACAGTGCAAAGAATTCTGGATTGTGACTGCTGCTCATTGAACTAATTCATGTCACCATCATTTGTTAGAGACTCTGTGTTATGGTGCTTTCAGAATATTCCAAGATTATGAAACAGGAAATTCCATAGTAAGTGAATAATTTGAAGCAGTGTCTGATAATAAGTCTGTAGGTCAAAGATCAACATGCCCAGGGATTACTGCTGAGAGGCAAATGAGAGCAGCAATTTTAGAAACTTTATTAGGAAGAGAAAAAAATTCCCAGCCAAGTCCTCAGAATCTGTTTCTTGTGAAACACAGCAAAGTGTCTGCACATGCAAACAGACATGCATAAAGTGCCTTAGATTTTGTGTTATTTATTTATTTATCTACTTTATATTTCATTTGTATTTTGTGGCATTCATGTGGATGGCAAAGTAAGAATTTCATTATACAGGGAAACACGTTTCCTAACTGTGCATATGACAAATAAACACTTTGACCTTTGACCTTTGACCACAGCAGCAGATCCTTTGCTGAAGTAAAAGTAGTAATTCCACAGTGTAAAAATGTCCAGCACTGAAAATGTTATTTAAGTGAAAGCACTTAAGTATAACTGACAACATGTGGTCACCGTACTCATTGAGAGACTGACTCCTTGATGCCAAGATCAGATTCTGTGGGGGCCACGCCATCTGTTGCAGGACTCCTTGTTCTTCTTGTCATATGATTCTGGCTGCATGTTTAGGCTTACTCTCATGCTATAGAATGAATTTTGGATCAGACACCTTTCTGAGGGTACTGGATGACGGATAAGAATTTAAACACATAAAGTTCCTAAAGCCTTTGCACATCAGTGTATGTTATAAACACAAAATGTTTTGTTTGTAAAATCATAATTTGTGAAGTTATCAGTTAAGTGTTGTTGAGTAAAAGTTATATTTCCTTCTGAGATGTAGTGGAGTGAAAGCAGTTGGTCTTTTTAAGCACCTTGTGAGATTTTTTTCCATGTGTGTCTTCATTGCTGCTGCCGTCAAACTGATTGACCAATAGGCTGCGAGGAGAGGCGGGACTTCGGCTGTCATAGACACGTGTACTAGGAAGTAGGAAGTAAATACAGTGGAGACGAGGTGCACCAGGAAAGAAGTGAGTACACCTGAAACTAATGCTAGAAATTATCGATAACATAAGTTTAGAGTAAAATTAACCTATACCGAATTTTAGTACGTTGTTCCATAATATAACAAATAGCGTTTAAGTGATAGGTAAGTGTGTTATTTTTTATTATATAAGGAAAGTAAGCATTCGAAGTGAGCCGGTGGACTCAGGTTAGTCACGTCAGCTACCTGTATAAATTATGAACTATGTGTGTCTCTTAGTTAGACGAAGTCCTTTTATATACCTTACATTACGATGCTCAGAAGCCACATTTGAGACGTTTATGTATCTTACTTTGACAGTTAATGAGTTTACAAAAACAGCTAATTTTCTTAATGAAAAAATGCCAGTATAGGTTAAAGTTTCGCGTCAGTGCAGGAGTAGTGCTAAATATACACTGTCATCACATGAGTTAATTATGTCAAATGAAAATACACATGTAAATTCACAATTATCTGGTGACTGTTAAGGCTACTGAATGATATTTATAAAATGAAGATGTCAGTAGTCACTGCGTTATAAAAATCAGCTTTCTCTGGTGAATAATTTCCCTGCATGTTTTTATATGCTTATGAAAATGCATTTGGTTAGGATTACACAAAAGTGTTTCTGCAGCTTATGTTGGTAAATGTTTCCAATAATCAAGCGCATATACTCATTGAATATGCCAGTGAAAATTGCCGTTTGAAGCTACGTTAAAGTGAATATGTGTAACTTTTGACAGACGCCTTAACACTTTCTTCTTCTTGCAAATCAAAAGTTGAATTCAGGTGCAATAAAATGGACCTTTGCTCTTTCTGGTACACTCAGAGGTATCGCTGCTACAGCCTAACTTGGTTTGGTATGAGCAAAAGTTCATGGTGGCAAACTTGATGTAGGTATTTCTGGGTAACAGACACGACTGATTCAGTTTACTGACTTTATTTCTCTTCTTTTCTTGTGCAACAGTGACACTATGCTTTAACATTTACTGTTGTCCAGTAATAGTGAATTGTGACCACAGAGAATACACAGAGCAAATACTTATAAAGCAAAACAGATCTGCGGAGTTAACCCCAGTGAACATAATGTAGAGGCAAAGTTAATTATATATTTGAATCTGACACTATTATTAGAATTAGAATTTGCTTACAGTGTACATGAGAAAGTGACAGTCAGTATCTGCAACACCTGCACTTACTGAATGAGAAACGTCAGTCATTAATATACTTTAGGCTGTATTAGCTGTTGTGAATGACAGGCTAACCCAAACAGGCTTGACTGCACATATACCACTGAATGTCCGGGATATTTAAAACCTAAACAAACAAGATTTGACACTCATTTGATCTGTCACCTACTGAAATAGGCTCTGTGGGTGTGTTAGACTAATAACATGAGGACTTAAAGACGCATTGGTTTAAGGCGAGTTGGCCTGAGTCAAATTGGTTGTAAGTACTGGCTCAAAGATGGGGGCAATATTTACTCTAGCCTTGTAGGAGTATTTAAAAGAAGTTAGTGGAAGATTTTAACAAACCCATTTTGTTTTGTGTCATGGTTTTTCTGAAAAGATAAGAACAAGATACTGTACTATCAACCACCTCCTCCAGTATAATGTGGGATATACAGTATTTGAGTGAATGTATTCTGGTTGCCCAGGTCTGGTACGATGCTGGAAGGCTACAGCCCTGTGACCCAGGCCCTGCTGGGGACTCTGTTCACCTGGGGTCTAACTGCAGCCGGAGCCGCCCTGGTGTTTGTTTTCTCTAACCGACAGGTACCGACTTTATACACTGTTTTAAATAAACAGTTTGGGGAATTGGCTTATTCACTTTAGATGAATAGTTTCATCTCTTTAGTCTATATAGTAAATATGAAGCTACAGCCAGCAGCTGACAAGCTTAGCTTATCTTAGTTTAAACATTGGAAACAACTAATCTGATACTGTAGAAAGGTGTCAAACAGTTTGTCATTTTATGCCAGGTTATGTTTTGTTGAGAGGAGCACTAACTTTATGGAGTTTCTGCTGACTGCCAAGTAATAGTCGGGCACAAAGCCTCCTGTGAAACCCTAGCAACAAGCTAAGATTTCTACACTACACACATATTCATTAATGGGGGGTGGGGTTTCCTCTGGAAACAGGTAAGAAAGAGCTGGCTGCTGGCTGTACCATTATATTTATTGGACAGATGCATAGGAGTGTTCCTCACTACCTCTCATCTATAAAGTGAATGTGCTTCCCAGAACGGTGAGCTGTTCTCTTACATGTGGAGCAATACAGCTAAACACCAAATGAATGAGACATACCAGTGATGAAATGATCAGTTCCCAGATGAAAACAGTATACAGTATGTTACTTGTATTTTTCGTAACTTATTTTTAAATGTTTATAGTCATTCAGCTGCTGTTGCAGTGAGCTGGGCGCTTCGAGTATAACTACCAGAGAGTGTGCTGTAATACATCACACAAAGCTCTATACTGACTGAAAGATTTTGCCCAAAATGTGGTTAATTGTGTTTTTTTTGTTGTCTTTGAGACTCTGTCGGGAAATGTTAACATTTTTGCCAGTTAAGTCAACAGTAAGTGCTTCACCGAAGGGTTAGATATTATACTGTCAAGGTTCGAGGATACTGATTTGACTGACTGCCCACAATTTGTCGTCTTGTCTGCCCTTTTCAGAAGCGCATCCTGGATGGAAGTTTAGGCTTTGCGGCTGGGGTGAGTCTGATTTCTTTTGAAGTCAAACACACACACTCTCTCTCTCTCAGTTAGAAAGACGCTGCAACATAAGGGGCTTTGGTCGTTTCATGGTGGCAGGCTGAGACAGACAAAGCCTGGCATCTCCAGCTGCCACATTAATTTATAATAGTCTGAGATAGGTGTTCCCCTGAAGGAGGACTTGGCCTTATCATGTCTCAAGAGGTATTATGCTGCAATAGAAGATACATCCCCTAAACCCCACTACCTCACTCTTAGAATTACATCTTGTATTTCCTGCAGGAGAAGCAGTTCACGGCCAATATTTATCAAACGTCTCAGAGTAGGAAATAGGCTGTAAATCTAAACTGGCACAGAAGTGTGAAGTCTCAGAGTGATGCCTGTTAAAATAGTAAATTTACTTTTTATGCTTTTAGGCTTTAGCAAAGCTATTTTAAACAATTGTCATTGTATCAGCATTTGTCCTGAGCAGAGAGAATGCATACATGCACACTCGCTGTACCAGGTGCAGAAATATAAAATAGATCATTCATTTGATTTTAAATAACAATGGACTTTAATGCCATCTGCTAAATGCTCCACTGCGTTTAGTTGCTAATTACAGGTCTAGATAAGTGTGGTGGTACGATCAATACCAAATGAGCAGACATTGTTCACGCTTCCTTTAGAAATAGATTTGTAGGTAAGATAGGCCTAATCTCGATTGGCTCTTATCTCAGTTGCCTCTGTTCTGGTCTTAACAGCTTTTTAATTGCGTCCCAAGCTGTGCTGATGCTTAGTCCACAAGATACAGACATAGAAGGCCTTAGGGATTTTTCTGTCAACTTAACTTAACTTCTTTTCAATTTAATAAGCTGCATATGTGTTTGAAATATATTTTTGTTGAACTTAGCCACGTAGCATGAACATTGTGAAGTATAGATGCACAGTGGCAGAGTCTCTCCAATTGTTGGTATAATATGCTTTAACAGTAATTTGTTTTAATAAGGAATTCTTTTGTGATCCTAATAATGCTGTACAATTATCAGTAGCTGGTACAGCTGCTGAGCTGAAGTGCTTAATCTTATTTCATTTATGTTCAATTATTGCTCTACCTTGGCACCAGTTTGGTGTTTATTACTTTAAGTGTTTGATTTAAATCAAATCTTAAGACCTTTCAGATATCCAAAGTACAGGATGGAGGTTTTTTAGAACACCTTTTACAGTGTATATCTCTTTGCCAAAACTATGTCTTTAGTACTAGAACAGGACATACACCTGAAGAGAGAGGTGTTGATTAGGGTTGGGCATCGTTTGGGTTTTTCAGATACTGGTGCTAAAATGATGCCAGTGCCTAAACGGTGCTGAAACCAGTACAAAAAAAATCACAAATGGTTGGAAACATTAAACAACAGCTGTTTTTTTATTTATTTCAAAGACAAACTTTTAATATAAACTTAACACCTTAAATGCAGTATATAAATAAATACAAAACACCCAACAAATTTACATAATGCAATCTAACCCAGCTACAATAATTTAACACTAACTGTAATAACTCTGACAGTAATAACAGCAAAATCTATTTTGTGTTGGACTTCTTCATTTTCTACAAACTTCAGCTTCTAACTCCAGCACTACTTTTGCAGAAGTATTATCATATTTGCTTTTTCCAATAAAATACGGCTCCTCTCCTGACCAATTGGAGGTCCTGAATTAGAATTTTGTCTCACTCAGACTTAAGTTCAGATTGGCGACTCAAACATCTGTACAACAACTATGCCAAACACAGATTCACATAATCTGTACTTCTGATGCTGACAGACTCTGACTGAGCTGGCCCCAGAGGCCAATAAGACCTGGGCTACAGGTGATGAAAAGTCCACAGGAGCTTACAGGAGAATTGGTCAGTGTTGACAATTGCTGAACAAACAGGTAGTGGATGACAAACACCAATCACTGCCGATTGCTCTGAGCGCACCCCCATTTCATCCAAAACTGAAACATTTTGAGCTTCATAAGCACAGATGTTAAGGTGGAAGTGTTGCATTGAATTGTAGACAATTGTACAGGTAGTTAAGGTGGAAGTGTTGCATTCAATTGTATACAATTGTACAGGTACACCTAACAAAGTGGCTGGTGAGTGTACATTGTCAACTTTTTCATATTTTAAAGCGATTGTTTGCTGTATCTGTCCACCACTACTACAGATGTAGAAGTGAATCATTCTGTTGAAATGGCTTTATGGATAGAGAGCGAATCATCGGTCAGTTGTTATGGCAGGTACAAGTCTTTTGGTGATTCATGAACATGTCTGCTCAGAAAGACTGTAATGCACAGAAGAACCGTTGGCAAGAAGAACAGTAGGTTAAAGAGTGAGAGGAAAAATAACAGCTAATGGTCTGTACTGTCATCCAAAGCAGATTTGATAAAGCCCGCACAGTAACAAGCTAGATGCTATGCACTAGTCTTTGTCACAGCCTGTGTCAGAGGCAGGGCAGGTACAGTATGATGCTCTTACTACACTCCATATTAAATTGGGCTTTGCCTGTTTTGTGTTTGCACTGTCATGGCCCTAGGTTAAACACGTAATGCAGCTACACAAGTAGAGCAGTATGCACTCAAGTTGAACTGCTGCGCCAAATACCTTTTCCCTGCAGGATAGCCATGCTTAGTACCTGCACAACACTTTAAAGTCTAAAAATCAGTGTACCTTTTCCCTGCAGGATAGCCATGCTCAGGACCTGCACAATACTTTAAAGTCTAAAAATCAGTGGTGTGTGTGTGTGTATGTATGTGTGTGTGTGTGTGTGTGTGAGGCTTGGTGAATGCATCATGCTTATTACATCTCGTGATTCAGATGCCATCCTGTTCCCATGTTTTTACATCTCCTGTCTCTGTAAGGCACATACACTGAATTGAACACATGCAAACACACACACACACAGATTCAGATACAGATGGACAAACACACACACACACACACAAACACACACACACACACACACACACACACACACACTCTGTACAGTCTTAGATATTCATGTCATGCTGTTCCGGAAAAATCATAACAGCTTGAGCATTTCTTTGTTTCTACATCACTCTTATCTCTCTCTTGTTCCTCTCTTGGCATGGTTTACCTAATGACGTTGTGTGTTCTTAGACAGACGTGTTAGGGTGAACGGTTACAGCAAATGACGTTAATGGCTTTTAGACCCAATGCTCTATTTCTTCAAGTCATTATACAGAAGATTTTAAATATATCACTTTTTCTATTCATGACTCGGTTGATATAACACAGCAGTATTTCCACCACACACAGTCTATGTTCACTGTTTTTGGTTGTTACGTAACTGGGCCAAAGTTCTCGGAAAAAAGCCCATTTGCTCCATTTAAACATATTGATACCCTATGACAGGAATAAAGTCTTGTTCGGGAATCATCACAGCCTCACTCAGCACACTGTATTTCTGTAGAAAATGAGTTTTTTTATATATTTTTTTGACAATGCATACAAAATAATAGCTAAAACAGTGGGGTGTGTCTTGTCCCTCAAAGCTCTAGTAGCACTGCCATGAAACATGCTAGAAACCTTCATAAACAGTTGCATAAATCATTGGTCTAAGCATAAAGGAGGACACAGTCTAAATAAATTTATACCATTGTCTCAGCACATGTAACTGGCTATGCATCCATGATTATTGATGATGTAGTAGCTATATGGCCTGAGTGTGCATGATGCACAAATGTGCCTGGGCTATGAAAGCAGACCAGCATCAATACCAGTGGTGTAGAGTAATTTGTGCAGGCGTCATTTTCATATCAGTTGAGTGTGACGGCTTGTTCTTGGCATGTTGTGCCTTAAGTCACTGCAAACCTTTTCTGTATTAAACCAGATCCCAGTCTTTCTTCAGCTTTAATAGAGAAGTGTGAGCTGAAAATAAGCTTGAAGAATCTGTAGTAGCAGAGGTCCATATGGGTGTTACTTCTGTTGCCAAGCTGCTGCCAGTTGCATTTGGTGTGTGAGGTGAATGAGCACTGGCATTCTGAGGAGTAGACGGTACCTATCAGTAATACTTAACAAGAGTAGTGTGGCATTACACTGAGTATGGGCCAGTACCACAAGGATTAGGCAACCATGCTTTATTCACACATGGATGCCCTTGTATTTATTGTGTAAAGTAGACTCTCCATGAGATAAAGAAATAACTTGGCAAGGACTCGTGAAGATAAGTTGTTCTGCATGAATCCTGTATTAATGAACAATTCACTAGTGAACTTTGGGTTTATCTGGCTGATAAACGGGGAATTTTGTAACTTTACAGTTTTCTGGCACAACAGTTTTATTAAACATGAAGTAAAACTGTGGGATTTCAGCATTAGTACATAAATATTCTTATTAATTCTAGTATGAGTACAGAGAGTATTTGTATTTCTTTGCATGGTTGAGTGCCAGTCAAACTATTTGAATCATGGTCGTTCCTTAAACCCTTGGGAAAAGAAGAACAATAAAATGACACTAATAATGTAAACATTGTCCCTATCACACTCAGATATTGCATTTGTCACCACAATTAGGAGACATTTTTCTGTGTTTGCATGAAGGAGAGCTGCAGGCTGTATGCCTCATACTTAACCAGCCCTGCAGCCTTACATGCTGCAACTGGAAAATTGGCTGAATGTCAATGGTCAAATTAGTATCTAGACAGAGAAACGACATGTTTAACATTAAATTAATATCCCTGTTAGACCACAAAGCTGTGAGAATGGCAGTGTAGCTTCTAGAGACTGTTAGCTGGGCTGTTAGACTTGTATTCCTCTTCCCATGACATTTACTCAGTCACCTCTCTTCGTCTTGGCTGTGTTTGGAATAACTCTTTCCTCTCAGGGTTAGCACCCTTATGCCCAAATGTAAATGCCGAAGGTTAGAGAAGTGATATTGTGAGTGAAAGTCTCCATTCTGAGCCGCTACTTTGCTGGGAAAATCTTTACCATGAAAACTTTTGTGACGAGCGATGTCC